ACGCCCAAAGTGCACAAGGGGAAAGCATGAGGGGTCAGCAGCGCCAAGGCCAGGACCTGGAAGCATAATTCCCCATGGGAGGAGCATGACCAGGCTCTCAGCAGGCTCCCTCCTTGCTGGTGCCCAGCACAGCTGCACACGCCAGGCTTCTTCACCCCACACCGCGAAATGCCGTGTGTCTCCAGTGATTGAGACATCATGCCTTCCCTCTGTAGCATGAGCCCAGTCATTAACCTCTCTGGGCTTCAGTTTGTTCCTCATGTGTATAATCAGATAGTAATAACCACCTTTCATGAAGACTGTCTGACATTCCTGAGCAGGTTCTCTGTGCCAGACACGTTCTGAGTGTTTTGCATGTATTAACTCTCTTCCTCACCATTATCTTGTGAAGTAGTAGCAGAATACTTTATTGTCTCCAGTTTTCAGATGAGGAAACTTGAGATACAAAGACCTTTCCTAGATCACACAGTGGTGGAGTCAGGATTTGACACAGGCAGTCCGAATCCATGCTCCTAACCACTATCCCAATGGGTCTCATGCTTAGGCTTGCGTTAGTATCACTTGAAGGGTGTGTTATAATACAGATCACTGGGGCTCCCCCTCCACGTTTTCTGATTCAGTAGATCTGGAATGGAAACCAAGAACCTGCACTTTTCACTACTTGCCAGATGATGCTGATGTTACTGCTCCAGGGACCATATTTTTGAACCACTGCAGGGCACTAACTTACCTTTATGGAATGAATGACAATAGTTGTAAAGCCCTGGACTCAGAATGATAATCACTGAGGTTCTTGAGCTACCCAGAAAGAGGGAAATGAACTCTCACACCCTTGGGCATGAAGTGATGGGAGACGCTGGTCTCCTGCAGAGAGGTATCTGTCCCCACTGGCCTTTATCGCCAGGGGTCTTTACTTACACCTTCAAAAGAGCTCCTTGGGGAGAGTGCTCACTGGCAGCAAGACCCCAATCCTCTGAATTTCAGTTAGACCTGCTACCTCATCCCTTGTCGGAGGATTAATTCCAGTTCAGGCCCTTTCTTGAAAACACACTTGGCACAGCCATCAGTGGCCTATGGCCCTGTGAGCCAGGCGAAAGTGCCATGCAGCCCAGGGTACGGCTCACAGAAAGGGGGTCTCTCTCAGACCTGCTGCCACCAAGTGTCAGGTGAGCAGGGACTGCACAGGAGACACTGGGAGATGTTTAACTAACTCCTGGACCAGGGGTTATGGGAATGGAGGCGATTTGTCAGAAAGCCTTGGCGATTGTGATCCACATCTCTGTGCCCTCTCCACGCCCCCTCTAATTCTTTTTTTTTTTTTTAAGATTTTTATTGGGGAACCGGGGGGGGATGGGAACAGTGCTGGGGAATTGGGGGAAGGGGAACAGACAAGTTGCTGTCCTTTTGTTCTTTAGTCTAGTTGTGGAGGACGTTGCTTCACTGGCCCAAGTTGGCACCATCATTGCGCTCTTCCCGGGCGAGGCAGATCAGTCGCTGGCTTCTGGACGGCAGCTCATTGCGGCTGCTGGCCGCTCACGCTGGCTGCTGGCTACACACGGTAGCCCATGGCAAACCCACTGCCACAGGGGCTGCAGCCTACGCCGTCGCTGGCGACTCACGGCAGTTCAGCTCCAGGTTGAGCTGTTGTTCAGCATCTTAGCTGTGGAGGGCAGTGTCACTGGCCCTCACATGTGGGATCCCAACCAGGGCCCTCTGGCATCCCAAGCCAGCTCTTAACCATCGTGCCACTCGGCTGGCCCCCTCTAATTCTTGAAGAACGAAGTGAAGGATAGAGAGCAGATACATCTACAGAGCACATATTTATTGTATCACCTGGAGATCACTGAACTTGCGTATGTTGAATAGGAACATGTACTACTAAAATCATATACCTCCTCCACCTACCACCTCCCTCTACCCTCCACCCCACCCCCCAAAAAAAGGTTATGTGTAGAGCAAGTTCACTGGGCTCTCACTGAAGTCCTCTAAAATAGTTGAAATCAAGTGAGGACTAGAAATTACCCTGGACCAGCGTGTGTGAAGAGAACAGAAGCCATTGAGGACTGAGGAATAGAGGTCCAGGGTTATTGAAGGGCAGGAAGAGCGAGACATCGGGCAGGAGGCTGACAATTTACAAAGTAGTAGTTAAAAATGAAAGACTCTAACAGCTGCATTTTGTTCTTAAGAAGGTCTTCATGGGCTAACCTGAGAAGCTTATTATCATTTCAGAAATAATAATGGCTCTGGCACCCACTGACTAAGAGCATGGTTAGGTCCCTGGCAAGTGCAGCAAGAGAGAAGTACAGCTGTGATGGTGTATCTGCAGCAAACAGGCACCATCCAGTGTTCTCGGCCACCAGGAAGGCTCAAAGGACACTTCAGGTCCGTGTCAGAGTGAGCTCAGCATTCACTGAGATGCCTTGCAGTTCATATAGAAGTGACAGGGTCATTGTCAAAAGTAGCCAGAGGTTTTGCATTGTCTAAGATATCAGTGGGGCTGGTGGGGATGGTGGTGATAGAGGGAAATTGCTGAGGTCACAGAAAGGTTGTCAAAAAGAGGAGGGGGTGGCTGGATCACACTGGGAGGTCATTCGAGTTGATTGAGGTCAAATGGCAACAGTGTTCACCACCAGAAAGTCTCTTGAGACCAACAATTTCCACATGAGAATAGGTACACAGAGATCTGAGAACAAACTCTCAGTTCATCTCAGAGAATGCAGGCCCTGGTGGTGGTGGTTGGAGATGGGGAACAGTGTATTCAGCAGACCCTGCTTAAGGGTGGATGGGATGGACACCCTTGGGCAGTGGAGGATGGACCTCCATCACAGATATGGGAGAAAAAGAAAGCCTGCCTCTCCTTTCCACACACCCCTGCATGCCTCCACCAAGGGCTGACCTTGTTATCACAAGCCTTTGATGGGTTCTTGTGTTGCTGGGTAGTCATGACTTGGCACACAGCATTCCCAATTAGAACCTTCCATATCCCCGAAATGGGAGTGAACACAGGCCATGTCCTGTTTATTTCTGTACTCCATACCCAACACCCTGCCTAACACATGGAAGCCACTCAATACATATTTGGTAATTTAAACAAGTTTGAGTTGAGAAAGTTTAACGTGTCATTGTTTCACCTACAGAAGTCCATGACCTTGAACAGCAAGCTTTTAAAGAAATTAATCCCTAGATATTTAGTTGGAATCTTTCTCACTTACGCTTGACTGCTATCAATTGTAAATTATTATTCTAATTTTAGTTTTGTGAAGTTTAACACACTCCTTTTCAACCCCATCTGCATCCTTATTATGATGTCTGAATCTTCCCCAGAGCACAGCCCAGGGAAAGCAGAATCCCACCAAGTGTCAGTCCCCATGCCAAGTCCCAAGATGCAGCAATGAATGCGGCACTGTCCCGGGTACAATGGAGGTAAATCGGAAGGGCAGTGAAGGGCAGTGAGCAGCCCGTCCTCCTGAAGCTGAGCCAGGGCTATTGTCCCGCCAGTTTGACACTGGCTGGCAGAGTAGCCAGGCAGGATTTCCTTGAAGCGGAACCATTGTTTGTGTCTTTTACCACTCCTTGTACACTGAGACTTTCTTCCAAGAGTTGTTTTACCTTTCTAAAGCCACCCTTACTCCAAGAGTTTTAGTAGCCACCCACTCACCAGAACAAGCAAAAAAATTGGGGAAAATAAAACAAAATTATGGATAAATAAGCCACTTCCAAGGTCCTGAGATACTGAGCCCATGCTATTCTATTCCCCTAAAATAAAGAGGGTCACTTCTCCCCAAGAAGACTTTAATTTCTGTTTTAGGTCTTTAAATTCACATTTGCATGAACATTAGGAACTGCTGTAGCTCTGGAAATGACTTTCTGATACAGAATATGATTGACAAGTTCCAGCTACCATCTTTACAGCAGAACTCAACTTTGTACATAACTTCAA